GATTGGGTCCTAGTCTCCTTGGCTTGCTATCCCTCCTTGGGGGCTGGGGGTCACTCACCAGAATCAAGAGTCTCCATGGGCACTTAGTCCAGATTCCCGTGACCCGTTGACATTGGAGGGCAACAGTCAGCAGGTAGGCTTGCCTCTGGGCCTTTTTATCCTCTGGCTTTTCCTCCTCTATACCTCGGTTATTAAGCACCCAGTAGGCAACCTTGACCAGGCCAGAGGCAGGGGTATCTGACTCTGTTTCCAGTTTCCAAAGTTCACGCCTAATGTTGGGGGGAACTTTGGGAAATGAAATATGACCTCTGGACTGCATTCCCTTCCAGTGACTCAGGGTCAGTGGTGATATAGATTCAGAGGCACTCTAGGAATGCTGAAGGGTTTTCTGATGGCTACCAATTGATTTCCTTTATTTTATCTAACTGACAGGTAGGTGAGGGTAGTGGGTGTTTCCTTTTCTTGCCAGCAGCTCAAGGGCTTCCCAATAATGGGGTTCCTAGTCTTGTGAGCGGCTCATGGGGCTCCCCAGCCCACTTAGCCTGGGTTCCCTTTAGGACCATATTTTTATAATGAGCCAGCCTCTGTCCTCCACCCCATTCTCCATTATATTGGTGGTCCCAGTTAGGTTTGTTATCTGGAACCCTTTGATTCCCTGCATGACCTGCATTGTTTTTGTTCTCTTTGTCTGCTTCCTTTTGGGCTTTTGAAAAGACCATGGCCTTTTCTTCCCCAGTTAGGAGAACATTGAGGCTGGATGTCAGCCCATGTGGGGTCATGGGTTTGAAAGATTCCCTAATCAGATTCAGGAACCCCTCTGGATTTTCCCTCAACCCCTTACTATGACTTTTCCCAGCTACCGAGGAGGCAGTCGGAGTGATTTGCATTTCTGGTTTGGGAAATTTGGACTGTTAATAGACTCCTCAAGGGACCTAAATAGGTAGCATCCAAATGGTGTGGACTCTGATATAACTGGGGGTCCCCCTTGAATTTATAAGGGTGTGTGCTTGAGAAAGTTAGTCCCTCCTGTCAGAATATCCCACAGGAGTTTAGACAGGACTGTCTCTGGGCCAGAGCAGTTTAGCCACGTTAGTTCCTGACCACCTTGGTCCCTTAGGGAGTAGCACAGCTGCCTGAGGCAGGGGTCTTCTCTTTCTCCCTTTCAGCCGAAAAGGAGTTTTTAGACTGCCCACTGGGTGAGAGCTAAAAGCAATAGGAATTCCCACAGGGTACTCACTAGACCGCTGGGGCAGCTAGTATTCTGTGCTGATACCAGGAGGAGAGTCCGTGGAACCTTGGTCAACAGAGAATCACCCAAGTTTCGCCTCACAAGCAGAGGGGGAGGAGAGGTCCTCCTGGAGAGGCGGTGGGTGTTTCCTGTTCTCACCAGCGGCTCACAGGGCCCCTCAGCCCACTAGCACCCCCCAGAGAAACTAGTGCTGACCGAAAGAGGTCAAGTCACCAGTCAAGTACCTACCTTGTGTCGTTCAAGCCAATAGAATGAGATTGAGTTCAGTTCAGGAGGAAAGGAAAGCTTTAGTCTTTGGTCAAAGAATGGAGAGGGGCAAGCTCATGCTCTAGAGTACATACTCTCCCCAAAAGGCCTTTGGTGGGGCTGCTTTATAGGGTTCTCATCAGTAGGGAGGGGAGAGGGGTGGAGTTCTCGCCGGTCAGGCACAGCTGCGCTGCTTATAGCTCCAGATCGCAGCGTCAGGCACAGCATCTCTGCACACGGCCTGCCATCACCATCTTGAACTGAGGTGTTGCGCACATGGTCCCCGAGCTGAAGTGCAGGGTGCAGCCATTTCCCACTAGGAACTCTGGTCTGGTACCCTATGAGCAAATGAAACTAGACTAATCACAAAGGAAAAGGAAAAGGATAAAAAAAGGTAGACTTTATCTTATTACCCGGATTCTACTTTTATTTCCTGGGAATTGTTAACGGGCTTTGCCCACTATTGCTATCACTATCACTGCTTAGCTTGTCCCCATCCCAGAGTGAGCCGATCTGGAACCAGACTGTTTCTCCTGCTGCCCAGGCCAGGACACATGCTCCACAGAGAGTGACCCACCACTTCTGACCAGACCAACCAACTTCCCAGCAGCACACCCTGGGGCAGCCCTGATGTTCCTCCCTCCTCTCCCACCTGTCTTCAGATACAGACTGCACACCATGACTATGCAATCACCATGCTACAATTTGAGGAAACCCAGAATGCACACATGTTGTGGAATGTGTCATGAAAAACACGGGATGTCTACCCTTCTCACAACTCAAATATTCAACACTTTCTAAAGTGACTGATGGCCTTACAGAAACATACAAAACAACTATTTTTCTGTGGGTAGCTACATTCAAGCCAACTGTTCCAGAATACAGCAAAGAAGTATCATAAATCAAGCTGCTTGGACCAAAGAATTCAGAATGTTAGGGCTGAAAGGGACCACCCTGGAAATTGCTCAGTCCAACCAATTCTCTTGGAAAATAGACCAAACTAAAGCCCATGACTTCCCAAGTTCACACACACAGCTGGAGTGGCAGCATTGGGACTAGAAGCCAGGTCTCCCAGATGGGACATCTCACCGCCCACTGCTTCTGCAGTCAGTTGTTTTTACACAGATGCGCCACTTTGCCCCTAAGAGGTTGGAGAACCTTAAGTATGGAATTCTAGAGGGGGAGATGACACGTGGGTGAGGAGATGAATTTGGGTTTTAAAAGTTAAATGTTGGGCTTCCCTGGTGGCGCAGTGGTTGAGAGTCTGCCTGCCGATGCAGGGGACGCGGGTTTGTGCCCCGGTCCAGGAGGATCCCACATGCCACGGAGCGGCTGCGCCCGTGGGCCATGGCCGCTGAGCCTGCGCATCCCGAGCCTGTGCTCCGCAACGGGAGAGGCCACAACAGTGAGAGGCCCGCGTACAGCAAAAAAAAAAAAAAAGTTAAATGTTGTAGGATGGGGTGTGATGAACAGCATGAGCCTGGAATCAGACAGACCTGAGATCAAAGCTAGCTTACCACTTATAAGCTGTGTATTTTTGTCCTCTGGCACGTGTAATCAATCTCTCTGCTTCAATTTCCTCACCTTCAGCCTGGGGGTAATAACACCTCCACTGCAGGATAGTTGCGGTAATGAAATGAGATGCTTGCACCTGGCCATATTAGGTGCTCAAACTGTCTTTCACCCCAGAGGACACCATTTACACTTTATGGTTCCCCTGGAGTTATACAAAGGTAGTGTGTTACTGGACATACAATTCTAGGTCTAAAAGCAGTGAAGCTCAGACACTGAAAATCTTCTGTGAAGGAATGGAAAACTTCAGTGGTTGTTCAGGAACCATTCTTATCACTTTCAGATAACAGAGCTCTGAGTGGGTTTTTCCTTGCAAGAAGGGAGGAAGGAGGAATAAGAGGAAAACAGAGCGATATCAACGAGATGAAGGAAGGTTGAGAATGAGGCGGGCAGGAGGGAAGATCCCAAGATTAACTGGAACGAACTTGGATTGGGTTTTCGAAAGGGAGCAGTTTTTTAGAGGAAGGGGGAGAAAGAATGTTGGCAGGAGTTGGAACTCTGGGGTGGCACCACCCTGACTCAGTCGTGACGCTGATATCTTAGGTGCCTCTCTCCTTGCATGGGAGTGTTGGTTTTCAGAGCGCATAGCTGGGTTTCCTCCGGTCGGAGTGAGGTGTCCCTTGGTTTTCACTCAGAACTCAGTGTCAGGCCAGGGATGCTTGTGACAGTCTTGCTTTGCTCACCACCTTGCTCTGGGTGATGCTGTATGTCCCCCCAGACAAGCCCCCCGCCCTACCCACCTCCACCCCCATCCCTATTTCCCCATTGGAGGTAGCATCTCCCTACTGCAGCTGCTAGATATGCCTGGGCTGCCCTGCCAACAAAAGCAAGGGGCTGGCAGCTGGCTCCAAACACCTCAGGAATTGCTCAAACTTTAGAAAGTTACCTAGTTAAAGTTTAGTCCCTGGAATGAAGCAAACCCAGAAAAGGGAAAAACTTGTTTACGTAAGTCACAATCACCAAATGGAAGGAACAAAGAATCGAAAACGATAGTTTACTTTTTCAGAGAAGTAAACTGAGGCGCAGAGACAGTTCTGAGTTCACATAGTGAGTCAGAGACAGGAGTAATAATATCCCCATTTAATAAATGGTTATTATTTTATCATTCATTCGACATTCAACAAATATTTGTGAATGTGGCAAGCTATGAGTCAGGCCTATTTTTACATCTGTAATCTCCACAACGATCTAGCAGTGTTAGAAAACTAAGGCTCAGAAGACAAAAACTTGCCCGAGATCACCCGCCACATAGGTGGCAGGATTAAGATTTGAGCCCAGCAGAATATTTCCAACATCTCAGAAAGTTCCCTCATGCCCCTTCCTAGTCAATACCTTCCACCCTCAGGGGCAACCACTGTTCTGATTTCTACCATGTTACTTTGGTCTGTTTTAGAACTTTATATGAGTGGAATCCAACAGCATGTACTGTTTGCTGTGTTTGGTTTCTTTAGCTCAGCATAAAGTTTTTGAGGTTTATCCATGTTGGTACATGGATGGGTAGTATGTTTCACAGAATTTGTATACTAAGCAGAGTGGTATTACGCTGTATGTATTACCACAGTGTGTCTATCCATTTTCTTTTCTTTTTTAAAACCCATATCCTTTATTTTTTTTAATTTATTTTTTTTGGCTGCACTGAGTCTTCATTGCTGCACGTGGGCTTTCTCTAGCTGTGGCGAGTAAGGGCTACTCTGTTGTGGTGCGCAGGCTTCTTGGTGCAGAGCACAGGCTCTAGGTGCGCAGGCTTCAGTAGTTGTGGCACGCAGGTTCAGTAGTTGCGGCTCTTGGGCTCTAGAGCACAGGCTCAGTAGTTGTGGTGCACGGGCTTAGTTGCTCCGTGGCATGTGGGACCTTCACGGACCAGGGCTCAAACTCCTGTCCCCTGCATTGGCAGGCAGATTCTTAACCACTGCGCCACCAGGGAAGTCCCTTCTTGTTGATGAAATATGGGTCATTTTCAGTCTTCAGCTATTGTAAATAAAGCTGCTGTGAACATTCTGTACAAAAAAAAAATATATTTGAGCCCAGGTCTGTGGTTCTAAAGCCCCCACAAAGCTCAGACTAGAATCATCTCTCCTGCTTACAAGCAAACCTTCACCTTTGTATCAGTGTCTGGCTTTCCTCTCGATGCCAAATCTAAGACTTACCCTTTCAGTAAGCCTCAGTAACCTCAGTAACCCAAGGTTACCCTTCAGTAACCTTGATAGTCCTCATGATTTTTAGCCTTAGAACTGGGGCTGGAGTTCATTCCTGCCCGGGTCAAACAAGGAACACGTGGTGAGCGCATAGTAAGCAGTAGAGGATGCTTACGTGACTCCCAGGTTAGAATGAGGAGACCGAGGCTCACAGAGGTGAAGTGACTTTCCCAAAGTCCACAGTAAGTGTGGTAAATCCTGGATTCCACAGACCATCTGTCTGACCTGAAGCCCAGGCTCCTGCACGGCTCCAGGCTGCCTGACATGGCTAAAATTAAATGACATTCATGCACCCCAGTGAACAGAAGGGAGTATCCTCAAAAGCAAATGTATGGATTACCATTTTCAGTGGCTAATCTACCAAGTGAAATGTCTACACTGAGCTGAGAGCTACTGTGCATACATATACCAGCTTAAATTTATCATTGAATCTGGTGGCTGTAGGATGGTGAGAAGTCACATCTGGACTAGATTCAAGCCATGCTGGAAAAGGTATCACCTGGAGATGTGGACACATAGAAGAGTTGTCATTCCTAGATACTAATTTGGCTTGTCTCCTCTGGGGATACATTTTTGCTTTTCTCTAAGATGATTAATTTATGTTAAGTAAGTGCATCTTGGAAGCAGAGGGGAGACAGAGAGCCAGCCAGCCATGGGCTGGAATACAGTGGGTACCTGTCTATTTGCCTGGTCTACTAGTCCCTCCCTGGGACCTGCCCTTCTTCCCACTTCTACACAGTGACCTGACCCCCTGCACACACACCTTAGGTGATCAGTTCAGGACTGGGCACCTGATGCATGTTGCACCAGAGTCCCTTCCCAGGGCATTTGGAATTGGGCCTGAGAAGGAGAAAGCCTCACACTCTCTTCATGTAACTATGACCTGGACACCTTATGTCTTTTGTGTGGAGAAGTCCTTAATGACTCCAGTGACACTGGAGCCCTTGGGTTCTGTGAGACAATCCTATATCCTTATAATAAAGTCCCCTTCCTCACCCCTTTTCTTTGATTAATCTGTAGAAAATTGCTTTATTACTTACAACCAAGAGTTCTTAATACTACTTTCACCCTACTCTGTCCCCCATATCTAGAGAGTCACCGAGTCCTCTTATTTCTACCTCTTTCTGAATCTCCTACCCACCCCTTTCTCTCTATGCCACTACCTTCATCAGAGCCTTCCCATCTCATGCCTGGATTTCAACAACAGCCTCCAAACAGGTCTCCCTACTTTAGTCTGACCCTCCAACCCATTCTACTGCCAGGGCCATCTACCAGAACTCCAGTTGTATTATTTCACTCCCTTGCTTACAGCAATTTTGGGGTCTCCCTCCCACAGCCTTTGGCTCAAAATCCAAACTCCCAGTACAGTACACAGGCCTGGGGTGATCTGCCCACCATTCTCACCTCTGGACCTCCATGCTACGTCCCCTTCTCTTCTGTCTATTGTAACCCCCGTGCTGCAGCTTTGCTTGCATTTCCCACTAACTCACCACAGTTTTACCATCTCTAGGCTTCTGCCTGGAGTGCTGTCTCCCAGTCTTTACTGAACCAGCTTCTATGCATCTTTAATAATCAAGAATGAGTCCTTACACCTCATTTCTAGGCTAGGTGGTAAAGCACGGACCAGGCCCTTCCTTTCTCCACATTCTCCTCTCTGGCATTGTCCCATAATGTGTCCTTTTGACTTTGCAGTGGTTTCCCACGGCTGCTTCCCTAGCAAAATCTGTTATCAGTTATTTATTCCCTGGTATAGATTTAAGGCAATGCATTGCCTCTACCAGAAGTATTCATGTGTAAAGACTCATCACTGAAGGCAGAACTTATTAAAGGGACATCAGACATCTATGAAAAGGCAGGGAAGGCATGTGAATGCCCCGAAAAAGCACACCACGGGATGGCACGTAATCTGTGCCAGTGTGCTGCTCTCTGCTTTTAAGCATGGAGGTCTCCTGGAACCAGGAGAGAGGGAGAGGCAGTGAAGGAAGAGAGAGGGGTAGGGAAGAGACAGAGAGAGATCATGGTGTGTAGAAGCCACAGGCTGTATGCAGTGTTCCTGGCCTGCCCCAGGACAGTGTTTGGTGGTTGCTGGTTGTGCCTGAAAAATTTTAGGGGGCTCCACTCACGTAAGCTATGATGGGAATTGTATCTCTCGGAGTTCTGCCATGTAGGAGCCATGGAAAATTCCTTGCGAAGGCAAAGGGCCTCTGCCTACCTATCCTTCCTTGGGCCAGCACAAGTCATAGAGGACAGGGGAGCTTCCCTCTGAGTCAGAGCAATGACCCATCCAGCACAGGACTCTGGCTTGGGCAGAGCCAACCCAGGAGGCCAGGTGGTCTGCAAACAAGAGAAGTATAGTTGTTGTATTGCCTTTCTCTCTGCTTTCTACTCTTCACCACATGAGTAATTCATGTAATCTGCAGATCTGACTATGGCCATTCTCCTAGCCCAAATCTTTTAATGGCTCCTCACTGCCTACCTCGCTTGCAGTTATGAACAACTTTGTTTTTACTAAAATACCTTCAGAGGGAAAAATAGCCTTTTGTGTGCCTCCCCAGGATTACATGTAATCTTTATAACATGAGCTCATAAAGGCAGAGGTTTCGTCTTCTTCATCTTTTGTGCTCAGCAGGCCAAAGAGCACCCGGCCCATAATATACATTCAATAAATGAGTTACACTGAATTTTAAAAAGGGAGAAAACCTAGAAGATCAAAGGCAAAATAAGAAGCCGAGAAAGCAGCAAAGCAGAGTGAACAGGGGAAAAAAGACTTCATTCTCGGCCAGGCTTTCCATCATCCCTTTCCAACATTTTATGGCAGTTCCCTGGCAGGGCTCCCACCCTGCAGTGAGCCGGGGAAGGGAGATGGCAGAATGATGGTGCTCGTGGGATTCTGCCCTGCTCTTTGATTCTGAGGCTGTGGGGCAGGTGCCTTTTCTAAATTACACACTAAGGTGGCAGGTCATTTCTAGCCACCCCAGCCCCACCTGGCAAGTGAAGCCTTGGTTTTCAACAGACGGGCAGAGCAAAGTCTGGAGGCTCCCAGGTAAACTGGAAAACAGATGCTCTTGCCAGAAGGAAACTTGGCTGGGGAGGCCTGGTGGATACAGCAGCTGAGGAATCCCCAGAGCCCGGCAACCTGCCAGCCGGCCAAAACCTATAAAGGTCCTGGGTCTCAGGTTGCTGAAGTGGCATGCTCAGGGCTTTCTGGGACCCTGTTCTTTGAACATTTCCACAGTAAGTATGCTCCTCTTTGAGGCTGTTTCCTCATTTGTAAAAGGGGATGATACTACCTAGCTCAGGGGTTTTTTTTTTGAACATCAAATGACGCGTGCACACAGTAAGCACTCAGTACAGAGTGGTCATCATACAGCTCATTGTCTTGGTGCCTCAATGGCTTCATCTGCAAACAGGGAGAGCAGTACTTACTTTACATGAATACGCTGAGGATCAAGTGAAGTGAGATCTGTAGGCACTTAGCAAAGACTGCACGGAGTTTACGTCAACTTGGATGCTCTAAAGCCAAACCGAGCTCATCTCAGGATCTTCAGATCAGGTTACCAGACTGGCAGGTGGGAGGAATGCCACAGTATATCTGGATTTCTAAAAGGTAGGTGACAAAAGTCTGTCGGAAAATGCTTTTAGACATGATGAAAACACATGGCCTAAGCACCGATGCCTCTGACTGCCTGAGCAATCACCAAAATGTTAATATCAATAAAGAAAGAGTTTTCGTATTATGGGTAGGGCTCTAGAATATGAATGAATATGACTTTTTAAAATTACTGATTTGCATTAAGACAGAAACTAGGCTTATTGAATTTGGAAATTATCCCAAACTGGGACAAAAGCAAAAACAGCAAGGTTTCAACAGAATGAAAAGATGGGCCAAAACCATCATAATATTCAATGGGAAAAAATGTAAAGCCTGGAATTTGGGTTAAAACAAAAACAACAACATTGCTGGAGAGCACAAGATGGAGAAAACAAGTATAAAATTCATGTAAAAGAAAAAAGAACAGGAAAAAACTACATTTAAAAAATAAATCAATGTGAATCATTGGTGTGATGTAACTGCCAAAAAAACAAAGGCAATCTTTGGCTGTATTAATAAAACAACAGTGCCCATTAAAAGGGAAGAAATAGTTTCAATATTCTCTAACAGATACTCAAACTGGAGCCTTTCTAGAGAAAAAATAAGCAGAATAATAGAAGGTCTAGAAGGTCACGTGGTCTGAGAAACAGGTGAATAAAAAGGAAATAAAAGGTGAAGAAGGGACTTCCCTGGTGGCACAGTGGTTAAGAATCCGCCTGCCAACGCAGGGGACACGGGTTCGAGCCCTGGTCTAGGAGGATCCCACATGCCACAGAGCAACTAAGCCTGTGTGCCACAACTACTGAGCCTGCATGCCACAACTACTGAAGCCCACGTGCCTAGAGCCCATGCTCCGCAACAAAGGGAGGCCACCGCAATGAGAAGACTGTGCACCGCAATGAAGAGTAGCCTGCGCTCGCTGCAACTAGAGAAAGCCCGCGTGCAGCAATGAAGACCCAATGCAGCCAAAATAAATAAATAAAATAATTAAAAAAAAAAAAAAAAGGTGAAGAAAGTGGGGGACTTCCCTGGTGGTGCAGTGGTTAAGAATCCACCTGCCACTATATGCCAATAAAATGGACAACCTGGAAGAATGGAAAAATTCTTAGAAAAGCACAATCTTTCGAGACTGAACCAGGAAGAAATAGAAACTATAAACAGACCAATCACAAGCACTGAAAGTGAGACTGTGATTAAAAATCTTCCAACAAACAAAAGCCCAGGACCAGATGGCTTCACAGGAGAATTCTTTCACACATTTAGAGAAGAGCTAACACCTCTCCGTCTCAAACACTTCCAAACTCATTCTACGAGGCCACCATCACCATGACACCAAAATCAGACAAAGATGTCACAAAGGAAGAAAAAGACAGGCCAATATCACTGATGAACATAGATGTAAAAATCCTCAACAAAATACTAGCAAACAGAATCCAACAGCACATTAAACGGATCATACACCATGATCAAGTGGGGTTTATCCCAGGAATGCAAGGATTCTTCAATATACACAAATCAATCAATGTGATAAATCATAGTAACAAATTGACGGAGAAAAACCATGTGATCAACTCAATAGATGCAGAAAACGCTTTTGAAAAAATTCAACACCCATTTATGATAAAAAACCATCCAAAAAGTAGGCATAGAGGGAACTTTCCCCAACATAATAAAGGCCATATATGACAAACCCACAGCCAACATCATTCTCAATGGTGAAAAACTGAAACCATTTCCTGTAAGATCAGGAACAACACAAGGTTGTCCACTTTCACCACTCTTATTCAACATAGTTTTGGAAGTTTTAGCCACAGCAATCAGGGAAGAAAAAGAAATAAAAGGCATCCAAATCGGAAAAGAAGTAAAGCTGTCACTGTTTGCAGATGACATGATACTATACATAGAGAATCCTAAAGATGCTACCAGAAAACGACTAGAGCTAATCAATGAATTTGGTAAAGTAGCAGGATTAAAAAATAAATGCACAGAAATCTCTTGCATTCCTATACAGTAATGATGAAAAATCTAAAAGTGAAATTAAGGAAACACTCCCATTTACCACTGCAACAAAAAGAAAAAATACCTAGGAATAAACCTACATAAGGCGTTAAAAGACCTGTATGCAGAAAACTATAAGACACTGATGAAAGAAATTAAAGATGACACAAACAGATGGAGAGATATACCATGTTCTTGGATTGGAAGAATCAACATTGTGAAAATGACTCTACTATCCAAAGCAATCTCCAGATTCAATGCAATCCCTATCAAACTACCAATGGCATTTTTCACAGAAATAGAACAAAAAATTTCACAATTTGTATGGAAACACAAAAGACCCCGAGTAACCAAAGCAACCTTGAGAAAGAAAAACGGAGCTGGAGGAATCAGGCTCCCGGACTTCAGACTATACTACAAAGCTACAGTAATCAAGACAGTATGGTACTGGCACAAAAACAGAAATATAGATCAATGGAACAGGATAGAAAGCCCAGAGATAAACCCACGCACATATGGTCATCTTATTTTTTATAAAGGAGGCAAGAATATGCAATGGAGAAAAGACAGACTCTTCAATAAGTGGTACTGGGAAAACTGGACAGTTACATGTGAAAGAATGAGATTAGAACACTCAAATAGGATAAATAAACTCAAAATGGATTAAAGACCTAACTGTAAGGCCAGACACTATCAAACGCTTAGAGGAAAACATAGGCAGAACACTCTATGACATAAATCACAGCAAGATCCTTTTTGACCCACCTCCTAGAAAAATGGAAATAAAAACAAAAATAAACAAGTGGGACCTAATGAAACTTCAAAGCTTTTGCACAGCAGAGGAAACCATAAACAAGACCAAAAGACAACCGTCAGAATGGGAGAAAATATTTGCAAATGAAGCAACTGACAAAGGATTAATCCTCAAAATTTACAAGCAGCTTATGCAGCTCAATAACAAAAAAACAAACAACCCAATCCAAAAATGGGCAGAGGACCTAAATAGACATTTCTCCAAAGAAGATATACAGGTTGCCAACAAACACATGAAAGGATGCTCAACATCACTAATCATTAGAGAAATGCAAATCAAAACTACAATGAGGTATCACCTCACACCAGTCAGAATGGCCATCATCAAAAAATCTAGAAACAATAAATGCTGGAGAGGGTGTGAAGAAAAGGGAACCCTCTTGCACTGTTGGTGGGAATGTAAATTGATACCGCCACTATGGAGAACAATATGGAGGTTCCTTTTTTTTTTTTTTTTTTCTGGTACGCGGGCCTCTCACTGTTGTGGCCTCTCCCGTTGCGGAGCACAGGCTCCGGACGCGCAGGCTCAGCCGCCATGGCTCACGGGCCCAGCCGCTCCGCGGCACGTGGGATCTTCCCGGACCAGGGCACGAACCCGTGTCCCCTGCATTGGCAGGTGGACTCTCAACCACTGCGCCACCAGGGAAACCCTGGAGGTTCGTTTAAAAACTAAAACTAGAACTACCAAAAGACCCAGCAATCCCACTACTGGGCATATACCCTGAGAAAACCATAATTCAAATAGAGTCATGTACCACAATGTTCATTGCAGCTCTATTTACAATAGCCAGGACATGGAAGCAACCTAACTGTCCATTGACAGATGAATGGATAAAGAAGATGTGGCACATACATACAATGGAATATTACTCAGCCATAAAAAGAAACGAAATTGAGCTATTTGTAGTGAGGTGGATGGACCTAGAGTCCGTCATACAGTGAAGTAAGTCGGAAAGAAAAAAACAAATACTGTATGCTAACACATATATATGGAATCTTTAGAAAAAAAAAAAAGGTTCTGAAGAACCTAGGAGCAGGACAGGAATAAAGACGCAGACGTAGAGAATGCACTTGAGGACACAGGGAGGAGGAAGGGTAAGCTGGGACGAAGTGAGAGAGTGGCATGGACATATATACACTACCAAATGTAAAATAGATAGCTAGTGGGAAGCAGCTGCATAGCACAGGAAGATCAGCTTGGAGCTTTGTGACCACCTAGAGGGGTGGGATAGGGAGGGTGGGAGGGAGACGCAAGAGGGAGGAGTAATGGGGTTATATGTATATGTATAGCTGATTCACTTTGTTACAAAGCAGAAACTAACACACCATTGTAAAGCAATTATAATCCAATAAAGATGTTTAAAAAAAAAAAGCTATCCTCTGGTTGGAGGTATTACCAGGTTCTAAAGCTGCCGCAGGCAAGCAAACTACCGATGGCGCTAAGTTCAAAGCTGCCAAATATCTTTCCCAAAGTCAAGTCAGGGAAAAGAAACGTCCAACAGTAAATGTTCCATCTCTCCTCCAGATGCAATAAAAGGAGGATGCTGAGGATCCATCCATACTTGCTCGTGCTTGGAGAGAGTTCTCGCTGCCTACCTCCCATCCCAGAGGAAACTCGCTCCTCTCCGCGAGAATGGGCACAAGAGATCTCCAAATTTCAGGGATCCCGCTCGGGGTGATTTCTCTCCCTTTATCATTTGCGGTCAGATGAAGGAAAGGGGCGACGTCAGCCCCCCGCGGAGGGCGTGCGCAGCAGCTGAGGTCGGGGGGTGGCGGGGTCGGCCAGGAACCCCTCCGCCGGAGCCCCGGACGCTACCCGGTCCTCCTCCTCCGCGCCGTAACTTGCTGCATCCCCGCTGCCCGGCACAATAGAGGCTCCGCCCTCCCTCCGCGCCAGCGCTCCGCGGCGCAGTCGCCCAGCAGCCCTCGCAGCTGCCCGCCCCACACCCCCACCGGGTCCCCTTGCGCCCCCAGGCTCCCAGCCGCCCGCCCCCGCGCGCCCCGCCCCGCCCGCCTCTGCCAGGACCCCTTCCTTCCACCTGAGCCCTCTCCAGAGGACGGCGCGCTCGGCGAGCCTTACCACCTCCACCTTCCCCGTCACCTCCTCCTATCCTGCGCCCCGCTCTCTACCGGGGCCGCACGGTCGGGGCTGATCGCGTTGGGAAGGAGATGACCAGGGTCTCTAGGGAGCATCTTCCCGCCCCGCTCAGCCGCACCCAGCTTTGGAAGGCGCTGTGAGCCTCTCGGGCTCCAGCCAGACACTCTCTCGGGCTCCAGCCAGACACCCTCTCGCCTTAGTCCTTGCCGAGACAACCCCCTCCACCCCACCGGACCCCAGCCATTCTCCAAAGGGGCCGAGCTCCCTCTTGTCGCGTGCCTCATGGCCAAGTCTTTGCGGCTAGCTCTCTGCTTCGCTCTGGTTATGGCTCTGGGCTGGGGGTACAGCACTCCCCCGACTGGGACGACCGACCCCCCAGATGTGCAGACGGTGGTGCCCACGGAGGACGAGACTCTGCAAAACGAAGCGGACAACCAGGAGAACGTTTTATCTCAGGTAGGCTGCGAGTCCCATGCTCCCCCCTCTTGCCCTGGGTAGTGGCAGGAGCCTTAAGATGGTCCTTGCTGAAGCGTTCGGAAGCAGCCTTTCTCCCTCCATTACCAAAGGGGAGGGCACTTTTCCTTTATCAGAATATTTTCTTAAGCAAAGGGACATGGGTCCTCCTCTCAAAATCATAGGGTCTTTCAAAGTTACAGAATCAGGAGAAAGGAGAGGAGAAGGAAGGGAAGACACCACACAACTCCCTGAGAAGAAGAAGAAAAAAATCAAAACCTTTTGGTTGAAGGGGTGTAGAAAGTATGGCCATCTCTTGTCTGTGTGGCTGGTTGTCAGAATTGGAATGTGAAAACAGGCGGGCATGCTGGACAGGAGGCAGATGGCGTAACCCATGGGGAGATATTTCATTGCTCGGAGTGAGACACCCAGGGAGAAAACAGAACAGCAACAAGTGTGAGGAATATGAGATGACCCCCAAACAGAGGGACTGATGATAAGTCCCCCCCATATTGAGAAGGTAAGATGGAAATGCAGATCCACTCAGGTCTGGCAGACGCTAGTGGGGAGGGGAGGGAGTGACAGCTGATAGGGACAGGATCTGTAACATATCCTTTTATGAAGTACTTTCACTTGGTTTATTTGACTCAATCCCCGCACAATCCTTATTCCCATTCTATAGTTAAGGACCATAAGGCTTAGAAGAGTAAAGGCCCCCAGAGATGGGTAGAGCCAGGTCTTCTGACAATCTCACGGTTGTCCCAACCCAGTTCTCGTGACTGTAAAAGACAGTTCTCTCTAGAGTGTTTATTTCATGCTTTCCAGAGCCTGCATGATGATTGTGTGGTGGGTGTCGTCATAATCCTAAGGATGGGGGATGGCTGAGAAAGGGTTCCTATAGTGCTGCCGTACCTCCACTAAGCCTTGGGACTGGGGTCCTTGGCTCCTTTCTGTAGAAACACTTGGCATTTATCAAGCACTAGTCTCCTCACCCTTCCTTTAATAATTATGCTAATACATGCCCTGTACTCACCCATAACCTCACACTGACCCCCAAATCGAAAAGACATATAAATCCTTCACACTGGGGCTCTGGAGGACCATCAACAAAAGCCTTCCTGAAACCGGAGCCTCCTGATAGGAAGGAATCCACCCAAGCTCTCAGAGCAGGGATATGTAGGAATCTAGGCAGAGTCTCAGAGAGCAGACAGCTACGATTTACTATCAGCACATAAAGACCGGCCAGTTAAGTCACCCTGAACTACACAGCTCCTTCTTCCACTGATCCATTCTGCATTTGACAACAGTCCTAAAACAAATATTAGTATTAGCAGAAACCCAACCCTTGTAAAAAAAAAAACATAACGAGACTTCTTCCCCCCTCCGACAGCATCCCAGGAACATATCCACTCCAACAAGCTCAAAGCTTGCCTGACAGGGTCATTAGTCAAATGAAGGGAACCCTTCCCTGTGCCCACAAAGGGAGCCCTAACTTCAGGGATGTAGGATGTCTTGGAGAGGAGCTGGGGAGGAGGCTTTTCCCCAGCAAGTGCCTAGGATCGTGGTTCCCGAAAGCCTGCTGTTATGTGTTTTCCTGCCTGGGGAGGCCGGCGGGGGCAAGCACTCAGAAGGAGATGTTTAGCACTGTAGAAGCCGCCAAGTGCTGCCAGTTCGGTCTCCTGGCTTTGTCTTGGGGTTTGGGTGCAGAAGCTATTCTAGGATCCATATGAACCCTTGGGCTGAGTAAACCTTACTGACGTTTGGATCTGTCTCTCTCCTCCCAGTTTCTTTTCTCCAAATCTAACCCATCCTTTGAGACCAGATCAGATGCCATTTCCTCCAAGAAGTCTTCCCTGGTGCCCGGCTAGAGACACTCTCTGTGGGCCTCTGTTTGAGCTCCCGTTGCACTCCCACTTCAGGGGGCCTTAACACTCCCTAATTGGTGTGACTGTTATTTATATATCTCCTACGCTGTAAGCTCCTTGAGAGCAGTCTCTGTGTCTGGCCCGTTGCTTTACCTCTCACAGCACCTAGCTCAGTTCCAAGGTGGCACTCAATAAATGGTGAATGAATGAAGGAGGACAGAAGCCAGTAGTCTTGAAATTGGAATGTCAGTTTTCCAATCCCTCCATCAATCCCTTCTCTTTTCCTTTTTAAATCTAAATCTGGATTCTAGCTAAGGCAAGGACTACCGGAAGGATGATAGGGCTCATTTGTTTTTTTCCTTTAAATGATGAAAGGCTAAGGCCCCCTGAGAAATGCACAGCTTTCCAAGATAAACAAAGAGAGCTGAACTCTGAGTGCCTCCCAGGAAGTGCTAGAGTCAGCAAATTGTGTTGCGATGACCTTTTCAACTCCACATCAGAGCTGTCTGAGGTCTCTGGCTAGCAGGACATCTGACAAAGTGAACGGAGAGCCTTCTTCAGGACCCTAAGTGATGCCTGTGTTTGCACACCCTCAACCTGTTCTCTCTCTCTTTGTCTAGTTGCTCGGAGACTATGACAAAGTTAAGGCCGTGTCTGAGGGCTCGGACTGTCAGTGCAAGTGTGTAGTGCGACCCCTGGGCCGAGACGCCTGCCAAAGGGTCAACAAGGGGACCTCCAGGAAGGAAGACTTCTACACTGTGGAAACCATCACCTCAGGCTCATCCTGCAAGTGTGCCTGTGTTGCACCGCCATCCGCCCTCAATCCCTGTGAGGGAGACTTCAGGCTCCAGAAGCTTCGGGAGGCAGACAGCCGGGACTTGAAGGTAGGACCTGGTGTGGGTTGATGCCTGGGTGAGAGGGTGCCTTAGGGACCCATGAGTCTGGCAAGGCTGTTGCTGGGGATTGTAGGCCTTTGAGTAAGTGGGCCCTGTTTTAGCCTTTAAAGGAGGTCAGACCCTGGCCTGAGAGTGTTGCGTGTGGACCCAAAGCTGATGATCTGACAAACTGGTCATTTGCAACTCTAACGTCTGAGGGAGATGCCTAGAGCAAAGTGTGCCCGCCTCTCTTACGGAGCCAAGGAGGCTGGGCCTGGGAGCAGCTGCCAGACCCAGCCGGCCAAAAGAACTCAGCATTCTTCTCCAGGAGAGTTACTGCCACGATTTGCTGTCAGCACAGGAGGCACCCCAAAGACACACCAGACACAGAGAGAGAAGTGAGCCTTTAGTGCTCATTGCAAGGGCTGGGTGACCCAGAGAAGAAGAAGGCCTGGGGCCTGCTCTAGGTCCAGTCATCAAACTTCAGTCCTGTAATTCTGGTCCACAGGATGGGGAAGCTCAGGCCCTACCTGGGGCAGCCCAGTGGGTCAGCTGAGGGCTTCATCTGATCCTGTCCTCCCCTCTCCATCTGCAGCGTGGGGTCGTGGGACGAGCTCGGCTTGGAGTCAGACTTGGGTTCAAATCAGTGCTCTGCTACTGCTTGCTGCGTGATGCTACTCAAGTTACTCACCTGATCTGACCTCAGCCTCCTTGAGTTAAAAAGTAGGAAGAATAACGTCTACCTTTGGGGGTTGTTTTGAGACTCGATGAGATGACAGCTTTTGAGTACTTGGCACAATACCTGACATATAGTTGAGGCCCAATAGACACTAGTTCCATTAATGAATGACCATGTAAAGTGCTACCGCTGTGCCGGCAGCTGGTACGCACTCGGTAACTGGTCATCATTGATATTCCTTTAAGCAGAGTAGGGTCTACCAATAAAATGAGCGTCCCAGGATTCAGCCACATCACTCAGAACTACAGCTCTGCCGTGAAACAATCTCTGAACCAAAGGCACAGTTACCCAGTTATAGGACTGGATTCTTGGGGGATTCTGAAACAACAGTACGCAAAATTTTAGGAATCAGAAAATCATCGCGGTACATATTAATCAGCTACCCTTCCTTGGCCTTTACCCAGGATTCAGCTGTCTTCCTCTGAGTGGGAGGAAGGAGATCTTCTAAACATGAGCATTTCATACGTTGAATTCTTCATCTAATAGAAAAGCTGTTATTGGAGGAGCAGAGATTGCACAATAGTGTCCAACAAACTCTTCAGGGATGGTCCTTGGCAGGGAGGCTCAGTTTGAGCATCTCTCATCTGCTTCCTTAACCTGCACTTTGCACACCCTGGATGTCACCAGCGCCTCAGCCACCTTCCTCCCAGTGGCTCTGTACTGGCAGGAAGGACAGTGTTGAAAAAACTGAGAGAGCTGGGTACCCTGTGACAACTTGCCGCCTCAG